CCCGCCGGTCGTGGGGAGCCCGCCTGGGCCGGCCGCTCCCTGGCGCGGGGGGTGCTCGCCTCGGGATGGAGGGAAGTGTTCTCCAGGCACGGCAAGGGCCGATCCGTCGCGTGGGGGGAGAAGAGGGGGCTCGGGCTTGGCTGCCGGAAGAAAGGGCCTGCCAACTTAAGGGCAGCCTTCCTCACCTTGACGAGGGCATATGGGAGTGGTAGTCCAGCGCATGCGGTACGGGGGAGCTGCCCGCTTTAGGGTTTAGGCGGGGGAGCATCCTCGCTCTGATCCTGAAGGAAAAGGAGTGACGCGACGAGGCCCTCAGAAATAGCGCTCGCTGCTCCTTTCCCAGCCCTCAGGTCCGTCGCCAGTGTGGCAGCCCGCTCGGGGACTCGCCTTCTGGGCCACGCCGCTGAGAGAAGCGGCCGTACCCTCTCGCTCGTGCTCACCCGGCTTCTCTCCCTGGGCACAAAAATCGTAGGGATTAATTTCTGCCCAATGAACTAAAAGCCTCCCTGCTCTGTACCTCCCACGTATTAAAAGAGGGCGAGTGAAAGGAGCCGTTTGCCTTTGCGACGGGATTACTTCGGTAAACCGCGGCTCACGTGTGGTTGTGTTAATGCAGCCTTCCTTAGTCTGCAAGGAAATAAGGCAAGTTGAAGGGGACTGTGTCGCTTACCTTTTGCAAGCCGCTACTGCAAAGAGAAGTATTACAGTATTCGTTCACTATGACTCATCTAACTAATGGGTTGCTTTTCCTAAAAGCAGTTTTCACATCATCATCATCTATTTATTTAATTTATTATAGCCACCCATTCCCATAGACTCTGGGCAGCTTACAGATACAAAGCAATAAAAACATTTAAAAACATACAACCCCAAAGGTAGCTGAGATAAAACAATAACAAACCAAACCAAGGCCCCCACAGACACATCAGCTCCAGGCCTGAGACCAAATCTGGTCTTAAAGTTTTTCAGAACCCTAGGAAAATGCATAGTTAGGTCTTTAATCTTTATCAGAGTCTGCACCTAGCAGGGGATTGGGCTAGGTGACCTCTGGCCTATTTCCACTTCTGCAATGATGTGTAAGGACAATCTTCGCTAGTACATCCAACACAAAATCTCAGGGCCTATTTTTGTAACAGTTATGGGTATTTTAGTATGAGAATCAAACTCGTTTAATTCTCCCAAATACCGCTTTTCATTTATTAGGTACTTACCCAGGTATGCACCTCTGATTGCAACATTTATCTTAGTCAGAAAGTGGAGACCACCTTGACCTTGGTGGTATATAAATACTGTAATAAGTAAAAATAAATTCAGTATTGTTGCACTTTGGTAATTTGGTCTCTAAATATCTAAAAAATACCCTCCGTGAAATCATTAAACCTTATTTCCGAGTAAAAATGTATATGTATATATCATTATAATCAGCCTGATATTTAGCACTGAGCTGTTTCTTTCCTTTTCTATGAGGTATCTCAATTGTTGAGGTGGCATAACAGCATCTTCTGTTCCTTAATATGCTTTCACCTGTCAGATCCAAATAGCATAAGAATACTGTTCTAAAATATGTTTCTATTATCAGATATTTTCACAGGTTTTACTAAGTAAGTCTTTAGTCTAAAATGCAGAAGACACCCAGTTTTATATCAAGGCAATATAAATTTTATGTTGGAGTATAGACATAAATGCATGCAGACCTGGTGTGGGGAAGCAGGCAGGTATTTGGTCAGCCTAATCTATTGTAGTCTACAGAAAAGCCTTTTTTTAGCTTTTCATATCTCAGTTGGGTGATAGCACAGTATATTTCCATATAATCCATACAGTAGATTTTGAAGGGAGAGAAATTACACATTAGATTAACAACCACAGATGCTGACACAGAGATCGCTTATAAAGGTTGCACTGATCTCTCTTTCACTCACACACACACACACACACACACATTACAGCCCTAAGGCCAGATACAATGCATTGATCATATTTAGTAATATTTGTTTATAAAAATTGTCTGATCATCTTCCCATAGTTATGATACTGAGTTTGGACAAAAATATCCTGATTAGTGGGAGATGGTATTTTAATACTTTTTGCTGGACAATTCACTGTTCGTGAAAAAAAACAAAAGAAAGATATGGACTTTTACATTTGATTCATCCTTTCATGAGAAATTGACATTTTGGTATTTTTATTTTAAATGGTTGTAATGTGTGTGTGTGTATACATATTATGTGCCATCAAATTGGTGTGGACTGTTAGCAACACAGATTTTCTCCATGAGAAAGAAAAAGATAGATTGTGTTTGTGTGTAAGAAAACATAGGTCACAATGGAATAATTACCCTTAACCAACCATTAAATAATGATTTTTTTAAACTTTTGAGATTTTACAGAAGGAATATAATTTACCCCAAAAGGCTGAATGTCCATATGAATAGTTAATGCATACACTTATTATGTACTTTATTTGGTTCCAATGCCATTGTGGCCACTGAAACTCTAAGGAGTTTATTTGATATAAACCAACAGTGTATTATTACCATTTTTATTACAAAAATAAATTTGGACACTAAATTTGAAATAGAGAATTGAACTATCCTATATTGCCTAATCAATGGCTTCAGGCTTTAAAAAATATGTTTCTTATGACCTAAAAACTTGATTATTTCAGTAAAAAAAGGGTTTTGGAACTCTCAAGGAATGTTTTTAAAAGTTTGGCTCTTATACTCTCTATGCTGGAGATGTAATATATTTGAATGAACCTTGGTACTTGTGTTATGGAATGTATCCACTTGTAATTCTCTATTGGTTAGATATTATTACTATGATGAACAAAATTTTTGAAAGGCAATTAAGAGTTAAAAATGTTAATGTTAACAATCTTAATGTTTTGCACAACTATATCCTGAAAATCAGTAATCTTTCAGTCTATGAAAAACTTAGAATATATTAAGCTTGGATTACTACAAAAAAGGATTATATACTCATGGAAGAATACCTGTGTTCCAGATTCTAAAAGGTGGCTTAATGAATTTTGTCAACTCTCAGTCTTTGAATTAGCTCTACACTGAAGGAGATAAATTATTTATTTATCTGATTTATATTCCACCTTTATTGTACAGCTCAAGATGGCATACATAATGCTCCAACCTCCTATATATGTGATTCTTTAAGGTCCAGGTTTAATTTATTGTTTAAAAATTGAATCATAACAGCATTCAAAAGTGAAACAGCTCTGACCCTTGAATGGAATTATGAATGGTAATTAAATAATTATATTATATTAAGTAATAATTACTGAATTATGCATTTCAGAAAGGATGCTCATATAGAGTCTAAAAGTTGGCTTAATGAGGTCTTTCAACTTTTCAATTAGCTTTGAATTAAAAGAGAGGCAGGACTGGACAATATGATTCCACCTTATCTATGTGTGATTCATTATTCAAAAATTATGTTGATGAAATCGAAAAAAGTTGTATAATTTCAATACTGCCGGCCTG